CCCCTGTAACCAAATGAGCACCGATAATTGCTCCAGTCGCATTAATTACTAAGTCGATATTCAAATTCGCCTGCTATATTATAATAGGTTTTTGTTTAGCGTCACATACGCCCGACACGCCCGATAATTACACAAATCATTTTCATTGCCCACTTAATTGGTCCATCGATCACAAAGAAATAATTCCGAGCTACAACCAACGATGGGAGAACCAATATTTCGCCACGTCATCCTTTTTCTAAAATACCTTCGCGCGATCCTATTCTAAAGATTCTTCCAGGTTAACGATCCTTGTTCAAAGATTCTTTCGTGCCAATTATTCCGTAATTATATCCCGATCACGAAAGCAGAGTTCGCTAGGAAGTTTTACTTAGGGTGGGGGAAGTGGCCCTAAGAGAATTAAGTAGTTTATTAAAGCAGCAAATCAAAGTAATCGAAAGTTTACACGTGCTGTTCTTAAAAGGAAATATATTTGATATATTTGATAAACAGGAAAATATTTGAAACGTCAGCGATGTGTATATCAAACAGGAATTCGTAAAATTAGTCGAGTAAAATTGGAAAATAATTCAATCGTGTGTGCAGTATTACAATTCTTGTAAATATGCGAATAAATATAAATATGTCCAGAACAATGCAAAGCACACAATTTTCAATTTTATTTTTTTATTCGAAGCACACAATTTGCATTTTTTTTAATTATGCGAAGCAAAGAATTTGCAATTTGTTTTCTTATTCGAAGCACAGAATTTTTAATTTTCTTTTTCTTATCCGAAGCACACAATTTTCAATTTCTTTTTACTTATTTGATGCACACGATTTTCAATTTATCTTCTTTTCTTATTCACGCTTCTCATTAGAACAACCCCCTCGATGCTGGAGAAATATTGAGCAAGCAGTCACGGAGTGGGACTCCGCGCAGTAGGTAAAAATATGGCCGTTCAATTTTTCAAAAGAACCGTTCCCTTCAAAAATTTTCTCCTCGCGACCAATAGAATACGATGCTAATGCGAACGTAACTCCATCTCGCCGTTACTCTTCCCAACGGATTTTCGGGGACCCTCTCGGGGTGGCGCGCACCCCTAACCTTCGCCTATCCAAAGACACATTACGGAATCACTCAGCGATGGGCCGCAATTTCCGCGCACGCTGTATAATCGGCGCATAAACGGCGAAAAGAAGGCTTGGGTAACTCGCGGAAGATTCGAGAAAGAAGAAACCACGGTCCGTTGAACGACCGTTTCCTCCCCAGGGTAGCAAGGAAGGAAGGAATGGAATTAAATTCGCAACCAGTTCCAAGGAGCATCCTCCGCCGGACACTTTTGCATTTAGATGACCATGCTAACGAGCGTATTACAGTTTCTTCTCTGACGTTCGCCTCCGTTGGCCAGGGGGTGGTTTCCGGCCGCGCGCGGCAAGTCGTGGGAAAAATTCGCAACTAGGACGACGGCCAACCTGCAAACGGTCAATTCTCTCTCCGCCTCTCTTTCAGCCCCTTTGACATGGGATATGCGCTTACGTAATTGCGCCCGGGACAAACGAATACGCAACGCTACACAGCCTCCGGCCAAGGGTAATTAAGCCGGAAGACACGGGCTAAATTACTCGTTCGAGGACACCGGGGCTTATTTCCACCCTTCGAAACGTCGAAACGAAACGGAACGGACGAAGGTCCATTAGGTTTTCCATGCCGGGAGACTCCGGTGTCAAAGCCGACTGATCTCCCGTCAGCTATGTACAGGTGTGTAAGAATGTTTCGTCTCGTTGCTCGTCGAGAGGGTTGTTAGGTGGATGTTGGAGATGATAATTGGATCCCGTGGAAGGAGGTACGGTAACGAGCAAAACTCAACAAGGCACAGAAATTGGTAAAAAGATATCGAATAATGACAAGATGATTAAATCCACTTTGACTGATCCTTGTTTACAGTTTTAGAAATATAATTTCTTCCTAATATCTTAAAATTTAAAAAAAAAATGCAGTCATACAAAAATATATACACACAGGTGATCAATATTTTTATCGTCTCTATTTCGCTACCCAAAACCTCCCTTAACTCATTAAACAGGAGCCGAATAATGATAAGATGATTAAATCGACTTTGACTGATCCTTGTTTAGTTTTAGAAATATAATTTCTTCCTAATATCTTAAAATTTAAAAAAAAAATGCAGTCATACAAAAATATATACACACAGGTGACCGATATTTTTATCTTCTCTATTTCAATACTTCGCTTCTTAAAACCTCCCCTAACTCGTTAAGAAAGTATCGAATAATGATAAAATGATTAAAATGGACTCTGGCTAATCCTTGTTTAGGGTTTTAGAAATATAATTTTTTCCTAATATCTTAAAATTTAAAAAAATGCAGTCATCCAAAAATATATATGCACACGTGATCAATATTTTTATCTTCTCTATTTCGCTACCCAAAACATCCCCTAACTCGTTAAACAGGAATCGAATAACGATAAGATGATTAAATCGACTTTGACTAATTCTGGTTTAGGGTTTTAGATATATAATTTTTTCCTGATATCTTAAAATTTAAAAAAAAATGCAGACACCCAAAAATATATACACACAGGTGACCGATACTTTCATCTTCTCTTTTCCAATATTTCGCTACCCAAAACCTCCCTTAACCCGTTAAAAAAGAATCCAAAGCACCGTTTTCTAAATACACCCAAACTGCGAGCCAAAGTAGAATAAAAATTGAGAACCACGCGTACACGGAGAGCCACGAACAAACCAGTCCCATTCCTATTCTCCCTCGCAGCATCCCACTTTCGTTCCACGCAAATTTCAAGCCGGTTTTCCGCGTACCGAATCAAATATCGCTAAAATCGTGCTTAACAATTACATCTGTGGATGCGATCTCGAATACACGAGCGGAGAGAAGGCAGAGAGAATAAAGAGAGAATAAGGGAAGAAAGAGACGTTTCCAGGCCGCCTTTCATCGTCGATAAATTTCCTGCTGGAACGCAGAATTTCTCCCCGGGTACCCTGGGCGTTATTGTGTTTCTTTCGCGACGCGACGAGCCGATACTCCCTTCGCCCCTCTTTATCTACCAGATGAAATAAAATTCGAACGATATTCGCCTCTGGCCCGGGAAATTTCAGTTTTCGCCCGGCACGGGAACGTCGCAGCTTTTACACGAGCAAGTAAACAATGCTGACAGTCGGAAAATATTCCTTGGCGAAATTTTTCCGCCCGTTGCGTGGCACACGTCGCGCACACGGGACGGGATAATAGGTCGCGACAAGTTTGACTAGCCGGTTGACTTACAAACGCTGGACACGCGTTGGAAAAAGCGAGCGGGCGTGCACAGGTGTACAAGCGGGCGTTTCGTTTCAACTTTGACGCCGGAAATAATTAGCGGATCGGCCGCTCAAACGACTTTGCCTCTCGCCGAGGTGCGCCGCCTCTCCTACGCCGGATTTTAATTGCCACGCTGGATATTCGCGTGACGTTTCGAATAATTGGGGGATCGCTCGCGACCGGTTACTTTGTTCCACGGATCCCGCCCAACTGCAGCTGTATTAGGCAACTGCGCTAGGGGTGAGATTCCACCGTTTTCAAGGATTAATTATACGATCCTATGTTAAGTATATTTAGCGCGAATTTACTTCTACTCCCTGCTAATTAAAATATCGTTTCCAGTGTTTGCAGGAGCGAAAGTTTGGAAGCTGGCGAATTTGAAATGCGAATAATCTGGAAAGTTTTAATTTCAGAATCAAAAATTCCAAAATTTTTAAATTAAACAATTCGGAATGTCTAAAATTCGAGAACTCGATCATTTGAAATTCGAACGATAAAGAAATATTAAGATTCGAGAGTTTGGAATTCTGGAAAAATAAAAATTCGAAATTTTTAACCCTTTGCACTCGAGGGGCGCTTCTCAGTCGCCATTTAATCAGATTCTAAACATGGATATTAATTAATATATCAAATTTACAATTACCTAACGATGCGTGGAATATCGAAGTAAAATAATTCTGTGAAATAATTAATAATAATGGCAGAAAATCTTCGAAATACTATTTTCCTGTAACGAAAAAATCGTCGAGAACAAAGGGTGAAATCCAAATATTCGGAATTTCTGAAATGCAAAAATTCGAAATCTCGAAAATATACAATTGGAACAATTGAATTACGGAAAGGTAAAATATAGAGCTGTATATAGCAAGTTTTAATGGATCGAAATGAAAGATTTAGGTATGTCACTCGATATGAGCAAAAGATACATTAATAACGAATTGTGATTATTTATCATAATAACATTGATAATCGTTATAGTAATATTTTAAAAGTTTCGACAATCTGAATCAATTAAACAACGAGATCAAATATTATCGTATTAAATACAACGTTCCTGGCTTGCCGATATTTAGTTCGTTACCTGAATTACCCAGAAATATGATCCCGTTTCGAACAGGACGTTTTCTCCGAAAGCTTGTTCGATCAGTTTATAATAGTGAACTTGATCTCGTGAACTCGTTAATTATCGCGGCTAATACGACTCCTACTATCGCTGTTATGCGCAAGGTGTTCGTAATTTTCCAAATAAATTGATCAGAAATTCGAATCCTCTTATTCCACGCAGAAGAATATTTAACTCACCAGCCACGCGTGTTCGAATAAAATGGCGGTACGATTTTAAGCAAACGACGAGGTTTATCCGAGGAGTAAAAGGGACGAGATAAAAATTGACGGAGTAAAAAGTTAAAGTCTCGGGGAGCTCGAGTAATGCGAAGCGAAGTGTTTGTTTTCTGCTTCTCCTCGGTCATTTATACTGGTTTCCCCTACTCTGGGGCCCAGACGGAATTTTCTGCAAGATTTTTACGTCACGATGCATCTTGTTTACTTTATGATCTATCACGTACCACGTTGCGGTATTTTCCTAAACGATTCTCTTTCTACGCCAATGTAACTCCGTGTCTTCTAGCTTTCTTATAATATTTCGTAATAAATTGTAAATAAGGCGTTACAGAACTCACCCTTCATAGCATCCCTCCACCGCTCTGCTCCAATGTTACTGTCCCATTCTTGCTTATCCGGCTTTCTTAAATTTCATGCGTCTGTGAACATAACGATACTTGCAATTGAGTGAAATAATTAATAATAATGGCAGAAAATCTTCGAAATACTATTTTCCTGTAACGAAAAAATCGTCGAGAACAAAGGGTGAAATCCAAATATTCGGAATTTCTGAAATGCAAAAATTCGAAATCTCGAAAATATACAATTGGAACAATTGAATTACGGAAAGGTAAAATATAGAGCTGTATATAGCAAGTTTTAATGGATCGAAATGAAAGATTTAGGTATGTCACTCGATATGAGCAAAAGATACATTAATAACGAATTGTGATTATTTATCATAATAACATTGATAATCGTTATAGTAATATTTTAAAAGTTTCGACAATCTGAATCAATTAAACAACGAGATCAAATATTATCGTATTAAATACAACGTTCCTGGCTTGCCGATATTTAGTTCGTTACCTGAATTACCCAGAAATATGATCCCGTTTCGAACAGGACGTTTTCTCCGAAAGCTTGTTCGATCAGTTTATAATAGTGAACTTGATCTCGTGAACTCGTTAATTATCGCGGCTAATACGACTCCTACTATCGCTGTTATGCGCAAGGTGTTCGTAATTTTCCAAATAAATTGATCAGAAATTCGAATCCTCTTATTCCACGCAGAAGAATATTTAACTCACCAGCCACGCGTGTTCGAATAAAATGGCGGTACGATTTTAAGCAAACGACGAGGTTTATCCGAGGAGTAAAAGGGACGAGATAAAAATTGACGGAGTAAAAAGTTAAAGTCTCGGGGAGCTCGAGTAATGCGAAGCGAAGTGTTTGTTTTCTGCTTCTCCTCGGTCATTTATACTGGTTTCCCCTACTCTGGGGCCCAGACGGAATTTTCTGCAAGATTTTTACGTCACGATGCATCTTGTTTACTTTATGATCTATCACGTACCACGTTGCGGTATTTTCCTAAACGATTCTCTTTCTACGCCAATGTAACTCCGTGTCTTCTAGCTTTCTTATAATATTTCGTAATAAATTGTAAATAAGGCGTTACAGAACTCACCCTTCATAGCATCCCTCCACCGCTCTGCTCCAATGTTACTGTCCCATTCTTGCTTATCCGGCTTTCTTAAATTTCATGCGTCTGTGAACATAACGATACTTGCAATTGTAATCCTGATTCGTATAGTCGTAAGTAACTGGCCTCGATAAATTATACTAAGATATATTTTGTGATTTCTAAAGTTTTGTAATTTCAGAACTTCGAGATTAGGAACGCTTAAATTCTCAAATCTTTAAATTCCAAAATTCCAAAATTCCAAATTCTAAAATTCTAACATTTCAAACTTCTAAAGTTCCAAAATTCCCCAATTTCTAAATCCTAAAATTTCAAAATTCTAAAATTCTAAACTTCCGTAATTCCCCAATTTATAAATCCTAAAATTCCAAAATTCTAAAATTCTAAACTTCCGTAATTCCCCAATTTCTAAATCCTAAAATTCTAAACTTCCGTAATTCCCCAATTTATAAATCCTAAAATTCCAAAATTCTAAAATTCTAAACTTCCGTAATTCCCCAATTTCTAAATCTTAAAATTTCAAAATTCTAAAATTCCGTAATTGGAAAATTTTTAAATTCTAAAACTTCAACATTCAAAAATAAATAAATTTCAAGCTCGTAGATTAATAACTAATTATTTCCAAGGCCCAACTACAATTTCAAATTGGAATAATCTCGAACAATGAAAATCGATTCGTTACTCGTTCGTAATAAAAATAACGTCTGACCGTATGTTACCCAATTACGTAACCGTACACGTAAAAATGTTTCTTTACCTAAGAGCCACCGCCCGTGCACTGTTGTGGAGCACCGACGCCCGTAGAATGAACTACACGGAATAGGAGCGGCGTTCTTAAGATCGTCGAGAACGCGTCGACATCGTTCGTAAATGTTCGTGGAACTAGTCGGCTGTTACCGTTCGCCCGAAGGCCACGCTAGGGACCCTAGCAGGCGTGCATCACGAATACCGCTATCGGTGCTGTCGCGGCGTGATCTCAACTTTGTTCCAGCGGTTTGATACCAGAGGGCTCCGGATGAAATTGATTCCTATGCAACTATCCGTCTTGACGGTTTTCATCATGGTCCAAACTTAGCGGAAAATTCTCCACCAGTTCCTATCGTTAATCGCGAATGGCGATCCATAGATCATAGATCCACGACCATCGTTATTTCCTCGATTAAACAGCTTCATATAAATTGGCCTGCTAGCGTGAAAATCGAATTTTCGAACACGGAAATTTAGCAATCTCTCGCGAAGAAATGGCGGGAAAACGAGAGAATTTGAATTTAAATTGGAGAAAACGGGACATCGATGAAGCATGGTAGTAGCTATTTCGTGCTATCGAATAAATTCCTATACTTGATTCAAAATACTATGTTTCCAAACAATTCTTTCAATAAATACTTCTTCAAAGTATTCCGACACTTTTACTCGAGGAAAACAAGAAATAGTGAAGCAATAAATTACTTCCAATACGTAAATTGATTTTGATACTCAAATTTACCTTAATTTCTCCACAAAATATTCCACGATCCGTCGAATCGTAGCCACCTAAAAATTTTCAAATTGGTTCCCCGTTTAACGTTCCCTTAAGTCTCTGGCTGAAAGAAGCGCGCGACAATGGCGGCAAAAAGGGAAGCTCGACGAGCGTCTTAACATTCGACGTCGACACAATTGTCCATCCGTTCATGGCGGGCTTTAAGCGAGCAAGTCCCCTCTAAATCCTCTGAAATCCCCGGTGGAGAAGTTTACGAATGCTCGACGTTAACGACTCGGCCCCGAGCACTCCGTATCGCGAGCTTAATCGCGCGACATTCCGCTCAAAAATACCTCGCGACAGCTTGCGAACGACTCGACTATGCGCCACCTGGGCATCGCTTTCACCGGTTACGATAAACACGCGACCAATCGGATCACGTGGTAATTAAATCGAGCAAAGAGGTGAATTATTCAGTTGCTGCTAGCCAGAGTTTAGCAGAGATGTTTTCATGCTCATTGTTCGATCGAGGGTGAATAGCTTCGCCTGGATGGGAATTCACGTTGCTGCTCGCATGTATTTGTCTACCCTATCGAAGATGCGGCGCTGGGGTAGGTGGATATAAAATGTATCATAAAATGCATCTTGTTCGAGAATATCGAGGATTTACAGTTGAGGGAATAGTAATAATCTAGTAGCACTCTCACCTCTATTATTGATACTCCGGTATCATTATTAATATATATTTATAGATGTACGAATTTCTTTTACAACAATTTCAGACAAAATGTCTCGAGATAGCCAATAATATTGTAAAAACAATAGATACATGACCCAAGATTATGTCAGTAAAATTAAAAAACAATTCGATTATATACACGATATTTATATTACATTCACCGTAGATACGGACCGTGGTGGCGCTAGTGAGTTACGCGCAAGTTACTTCGAGGCAGTTAAACGCTCACGCGTGAAAGTGTTAGCAAATCAAGATCATTGCAATATCGGCATACGTTTCTATCAACGCACATCTCCAAACCTACCCTTTCCCCAAAATCCTCCACTTAAGACACAGTTCACAATCCGACAACCCCTAGAAGTTCTCAAAACGAATCTCAAGCGCTCCAAATGCTGAAATCTCGTCCCGTTTCCAGACAGGGTGATCCGAATTGAAGATTCAGCGAAATGACGAAGATAACAATGGAATCTCAGCTTCACGCGCTATGCGTGGCGAGGAGGGGGTCCTACAGAGAGGATCAGTGTCCGGGAAATTAATTCGAAGCTAAGCGGACCCAAGAACCAAGGACGGGGAACCGAAGAGAAAAGGGATGCAGGAGAGCGAAGGACGAAGAGCAGGTTGGCCTGTAATTTACATCGTTAGGGTGTCCCGTTCGTCGACGCTCAAGTAACGCCACGAAAGTGTACCAGGATCGATTCAAGGGCTGCGGCCGTGTAATACGGGACATCCGCGTGCTCCGTTGCCCCGGAATTCGCCGCAAGGATCGTGAAATCCTGTTACAGCCGGCCGGGGGATGGCCATTTAGAGAGACAGACGTTCCGCCCTCGGATTAGAGGCTAGAACGACAGGACGTTTGACTCGGAGACAATCTATCGTCGGATAAAGGCGGAAGATAGGGGTGGCGAGGGAGACGGAGTGAGACATCTCTATCGGAATCCACTTTGCAGACGGATGCCGGGGAATTTTGAATGTCCCGGCAAGAAGCGGACCCCCGTATCGACAGGTCCAACTGTATTTATGGTTGCGCGCTGACCGGCCTTCCAGAGCACCGGGATGCTGGATTTATCTCCCTATCGCGTGGCCGAAATAATGCCGGATTTCGTTAGGTTTCGCGTTCTGGCTGAGTATTATACATCGTACCGTTTCCCTTCTTCTGTATTTTTCCTTTCCTTAGGATAGTTTCGTATCTGTCCTGTAAATATACGGGGATTTACTTGCGGGGCTTGTACGTTCTCCGTGCGACATTAGGGGTTGCTTAGGTTGGTATTCCATGGTTCAGGAATTTTTGTAGGTTAACCTGTCTCCGTCAGTTTCGTGAACTTTGAGGAAGCTTTGGTTTTATAAGCTGAGAGCTTTATAAAGAATCTGAACGCAATTTTTCTTTAAATTTGTTTATGACAAAGATCAGTAAAATCTAGATTTTATTTTATAATTAACTCTATCTCTTCAATCATGGTGTACATAAGCAAAATGGATCCTATAGCTATTTATTTATACTAACTCTATTTGGATATATTAATTTCTCATTTAGTAAAGAAATATTGTTTCTAAATCAGTCAGCAATAGCTATCGTTGCTAGCACTGAACCTATCACGATCAATCTAAATCATCATTTCCAATTTTTTGATTAAACATTACGCGTTTAGAACACAGATCACTAGACTAACTGTTCACAGAAGTGGCCATTTTCCGCGCATCGATTCGTCCAAACTTTACACCACGAGGATTACACAGTATAGAAACCATAAAA